TATATAAAATACAAGTTTTAATTGTATTATAAATATAGTAATTTATACTAATTAAATATATATATAGGAATACAATTATAATAGAATCAAAATTTATTTAGATTAAAATTGATAAAAATTCCAAATCAACTTAAATTATATTTTTATTTACAATATATTAGGAACAAATGAATATTAGCTTTATTAAGAAAATTTTGAACAACTTTAATACAAAATAGTTATGAGATATAGTTTTGAATTCAGATTAATAAATATCAGATATATAACTAATACAGCATAACTATATTGATACAAGACACTACAATTTAAACAAATAAAAAATATTATAGAATTTTTAGATGTATAGAGTAAAAATACTTCTTTAAAAACATCATTAAAGCTAATTTTAATAATACATAATGTGAAATAGATACTAAAAATAGGATATCTTATACTCTATACTGTATAGATCTATCTGCATAATTTAGTAATATTCTTTGCAGATGATAATTATACAGATTAATGTAGATAATAAAGCTAAATGAGATATAAACAGCTTATATTAAATACTTAGACCAATTAAACCAATGAATAATCACTAAACTTAGACTAATAGTGCTCTTAATATAATTAAATAGCTATCAAAATCATGTATAAATCTTATGATTAATTTCTTATTGAAGATTCCTACTATAATTTTGCTGAAGTCTGACAAAAAAGATAGCTTCAACCTTTTTTTTCTTATCATAATAATGAACTATTTACTGGTTAAACTATTTTTTACTAATTAAAACTTCAAGTTCTGACCTATAATTTATATGTTTAAGAAAATCTTAAATTATATAAATAAAAATTTAATTAAGAAATTAGTTAATATATATATTTATTTATAATATTTAATTGGCTATATAAGATGAAATATTATATGAAAACTTGATATTATATAAAAAGAGTTTTGTAAACCAATTTAGACCAATTAAAGATTTTTAGAGCTGTTGATGCTTGTATAGCTTCTTTAAATACTATACTGCTTTAAATTCATTATTACTATTACAGGTTAAATCAATAAATATTAGAGACAAGTTTCCTAATATACATCTAATAGTCAGCTATAAATCTGCTGAATATCAGCAGAATATTGGCAGAATATTGGTTTTGCTGCTATGTTGCTAATATTGGTTTACTTTCTGATATCTTATCAATATTCTGCCAAAATTCTGCTAATATTCAGTAGGTATTTGGCAGATCTATAGCAGACTATTGGGTATATAACAGAAAAATTGTCTTTTGGTATGCACCTAATATTCATTTATTTAACCTGTATAAGTTATCAAAGTTTAAATTTACAAAGTTTCAATAATTGGTATATATATCAATTTCTGGTAGTATAAAAATTAAAAAGAGGTATAATTACTATACTCATTTAATATTTGGTTTATAAAAAATATATGATAACAATTATATACATTTTGATATTATAATAAGAGATTTTATTATTTAAAAAATCAGGAGTATAAATTAGTGTGATTTTATAAAGGTTGTGATTATAAGGAAGGTGATTATAAAGAGAGAAGACTGTATACTTAATAAAGTATTAGCAAAATTGCCAAATTAATAAAAAAAAATACTAAAACTTTTTGCAAAAATATAATTTTAAAAATCTGACTAGTAACTATAGAATTTATCATAAAGAACAAAGTTACTAATCAGATTTTAAAAATATTGTCTATATAAAAAGTTTTAGTATTTTGAAAATTATTATCAAGTATAAATATCTTGCATCATAAAACCCCAAAAAATTTAAAGCTTTATATAGATAAACAAAATACTAAAATTACAATAAAGTTAATATAGTATAAAAATATAAAAGATTTATATTATTCTATTCCTTAATCTGTATTCAGGACAAATTTGCTCTGAATTTCAGATTTCTAGCAAATATCTCATGCTATTATTAAAATTTACTAAATGTATCCTCCATGTTTGTAGCACAATACACACAAACATAACTGCAATATCTATATTAATGTATCTTTGCCACAAACAAAAAATAATAAGGTTCAAAATGTTTTTTGAATGTAAAAGATCAACGCTTTTAATTTTTCACATTTTTTTTTTTAAAAAAAAAAAACAGCTTATACTATGGTTAATAGTGATAGTAGTATTAATAATGATACTTTTAATGATGAGTATGATGATGCCACTGATGATTCTTCTTCTGATTTGTAATATTTTACTTTAAACATTGTTTTGTTAATAGTATTATTCTTTATTGCAAAGTTACAAATACAAAGATTGCAAACAAAAACTTCTGAACTGCTTTTGTATAGGATTTAATTCAAGAAGCTATAGATAATGAGAGTAGTAGCAATAGAATAACTCAGGGTCAATTAAACTAAAAAAAAGCTTTATTAAAATCATCACTAAAAAATAAAAGAATTACATATGTTACTAAAAATTTTAATCTACCTATACATTGACTTTCTCTAGAGAATCATCTAGTAGAATAGTGTAAAAAAAGAAAATCATGTTTATATTGTTGTTATTTAAAAAAAAAAATTAACAAAGGTAAAAAAAAATTGTACAATTTCCCAGACTCAATTTTGGTGCATTAAATATAATGTACCTCTTTGTTGTTTTATAGTGAGATATAATTGTTTTAAAGATTTTCATAGTAAACAATGAATAAATTTATCAAATATATATTTTTTATTGTTTTTTACTAATTTTGAAATTGATTTATAATATATTAATTATACTTAAATAATGTAAAAATAATATTAAAAAATTTAGGGCAAATTTGCCCCTAATTTGCATACAGGTTAAGGAATAGATATATATAATATTTTTAGCTTTGACTTAGGTTAAAAGTACAAATTAGTTTTTTTTATAAGGAATAAATATATCTATAATATTTTTAACTTTAACTTAGGTTAAAAGTACAAATTAGTTTTTTTTATATTTTTTTTTTATATTTGTCTTTTTTTTCTTTTTTGGTTTATCATTTAAGCATGTAATGACTTTCTATTTTTTTTTCATAAATTTGTTTCTTTATATTTCTTTTCTTTTTAAAGTAAATTTTTATTAAAAAAAACTATTAGTTTTACTAATAGGAAGCTAGGTAGGATAGATCTAAAAAATAATAGCTGAATACTAGCTATAGCAGTCTTTTAATATGAGTAGTATTACATGTGAAGCCTGTTGGCAAATATCAGTATGATAACCATACTTGGGCACTTTAAAGCAGCCAGGTACTGTATCTGCTTAATAGATAGCTAGTTTATTTGTCCAGTATCAGCTTATTTTATAATAAATTAATGCGTGATTATCAAAGAAAAAAATTCTTTAAAAAAAAATAAAACCAATAAATACAAAACTATAAAAACATAAAAATTATAATAATCAAACAACAATTAAATGTTATTTTATCTAAAAGCAAAACTATTAATGAAACTAAATTATATCGTTAATATGAAAGCTTTAAAAACGTATAATTACTACTTTTAAATATTATAATTTTTGTATAATTAGTTTTACTTTATAGTGTTTTGCTATGGTTGTAGCAATTAAATCATTTTTACTACTTATATAATAACTCTGGTTTAATTCGTCTCAACATAAAATAAAAAAAATTGTTTATAATACTACGTATAATTTATAATAATGTATTACATCATTAATCGATTATGTATAAAAACGAATAGCTCATCAATTCAGATTAATTGCTTGTTTAAAAAAGTAAAATTAAAATAGAATGGCAAAAAAAGTAGTTGTATAACAATAGCAAAAAAAACAAAGTGATTATGAGAGTCAATTAATAATAACTTTAGATAATTGGTATTTTGCCACAATTTTAAGTGTGGCTATAGGGGAACGGCTATAAAAATTTTCTATTATACATAATGTAAACTAAAAATTGAATAAATTTATACTGTATTATTAAAAAAAATTTTCTATATTATAAACTAATAAATAAATATACAAAAAAAAAAAAAAAACCACCCCAACCAGTTTGTATAAAAAATTTTTTCTTTTTCTCACACCCCTTCCCCAAAAGTTTTGTAAATACTATAGATACAAAAAAAGTGTTATAAGAAAAAAAAAAATTCGGGTATACGGAGCAAAACAAAAACTTTTCATTCAATCGGTGCTTTAAAAATATTTAATTCTAATCCTAAATTAAATTAATTTTTTTATATAATATAAATAATATAATATAAAAAATAATATAATACAAATAATATAATACAAATAGATGAATATAATATATATAATATAATATCTATATATGCAATATATATATCTACTGTATAACTATAATATCTATGCAATATATATTTCTACTGTATAACTATAATATATTTACTATATAAATATATATTTACTGTATAATATATATATATATTATTATTCCAATATGAAGAAAAAAAGAACATCGATATAGAAAAGCATTGACTCGAAAAAATACATAGTAAAAATTTTGATCTAGACTTACGCGTATGAGATTGTTAATTACGCGTTCAATTTACTATATTCATTATAACATATGCAGCTTTTTAAATAATTCTATGAAATTGTTAATTACGCGTTCAATTCATTATAACATATGCAGTATTTTTTTTATTTTTTAAATAATCGCCAAAAGCAGTTCGTTACACAACCTTTTTTTTAAAAAAAAATTTTCCGTTCATAAAAAATTATTCCATAATAATAACTGATAAAGAATCAAAAATCGTAATAATCGTAAATAATCATAGAAAAAAAAAAAAAAACAAAAATTTAAAAATTGGTTACTATAATCCTAAATACAAATAATCGTAAAAAAAACTTTTTATATCTTAAAAAAAAAAAAAAAGAAAGAAAGAAGCTACCAGAGTTCTTTAAATTATATCTTTAAAAAAAATAAAAACAACCGTAAAACAAAGATACATACAAAAAAAAAAGAAAAAAAGGAAAAGAAAAGAAAAAAAAAAAAGGTTATAGATAGATAGATCGATTAAAGTGCTGTTGTAATCATGCATCTATTTTTTTTCATAATTTGAGGCTTGAGAATTGCTGTTACCGGTAGTTGCAGGACCGCTATTCATGTATTTTCGTAAAATTTTATTAATCGCATATATAACGCAACTCCACGGAAAGACCTTGACGTCCTTTTCAATATTTCTAGGTTTCGGAGCAGGAAAACCCATGATTACTCTAAATAAATCTTCACTATCTTTTTTGTTTTTTCCTACGGTTAATGGTTTAAAAATTTCCAAATTTCTACGAATTCTATTTTTTTCATCTTGAGTTAATCTAATTCCAGTTAAACATTCTAATAAATAAATACAATCTACGGAGGTAATATAATAATCATCTTTTGCTTCCCACCAAATACATGAAACAAAAATTCCATATTTTGGTCTTTTATCAGGTTTAACAGGTTTAAAAGTAACTCTAATTTCATCACCTTCAACACGTCGAATGAATTGAATTAATCTTCTTCTATTTCTAAAATCTTTTACGGACCAATTTTGAGCCATTGATTGAATATCTCCATCAATTACAAGTTTAACTTTGTTTAAAAGTTCATAAAGTTGAGTTTTACAATCAGGTTCATTAGAAATGAAATTTTTTTGACGAGAGGACGGTTTATCAGAAGATGGAACCATTGGACTTTCCTTTAAAGTGATTGATGGAATAACAGGATAACCAAGATATGGATACATTGATGGAGGGAAAAAAGGGCAAAAACCAGGATGAATATTTGCAGGATGAATATTTGCAGGATGAATATTTGCAGGATGAATATTTGCAGGATGAATATTTGGCGGATGAATATTTGCAGGATGAATGTTTGGAGAGATATTTGGAGAAATGTTGGGAGAAGAGATTTGATAATTCATCGATTTTACAGTAGCTGGAGTAGGTAAATCATCCGTGGTACTAGAATCACTATAATTTGTTGGAGAGATCGGAACAATTTGCGAGTCATTAGGAGATTCATGAGCATAAACTAGATCAGGTGATTCTAAAGAAGCCTTTTTGTAATCTATAAATAACGTAATAATAAAATAAATAAATAAATTAAATTAATAAAATAAAATAAAATAAAATTAATTAATTAATTAATTAAATATTATAATTTATCATACCATTGAAAGAATCATCAGAAGCAGTGGAATAAGGGGTCGAAGCGGATGACGAGTAAAATGAACAAGGGTCACTTTGTACATCGGACTGAGATTCGCTGCTCATCATCTCGACTAAGATTAAAAATAAAAAAAGTCAGATCTGACCCTATAATTCATGAATTAATAAAATCGTAGTTACCCTCACGATAATTTTGTAAATCAAAAGTTGGTTGTGGCTGCTCCGAAATGTTTAAAGTAGATTTCTGTTGTTCTATGACAGAGTTATCACGGTTATCATAAGAATAAAAATTATAAATATTTGTTTGGGTACCATAAGCTACATATTAAAATATAATTAAAAATATTATTATGTTATTATATAATTGTAAAAAATTATTGATATGAAGGACACGAAGCAATAAATTATTATTATTATTAATTACCACCAGAGTTATTATCACTCATATAGAGTACTTCATTTTTGAGAGGTGGAGTAACCGACGTAGTTGGGGAAGTCTGTTCAACACCATTAGAGATAGAATAAGGGTGGTATAAACATCCCTGAGAAGAATGGCGACGATGTACTAATATGATAGAATAAAATTTTTTTTTTTTAAAAAAAAAATTAAAATTAAAATGTGTATACGTATAATAATATATAATATAGTGTATATATAAAGAAAAATAAGTAATATACATTTAGTCGTGTCATCAATGTCAAAGTCAAAGTCAATACCAGATTTAACGAGACGTTTGTGCGGAGATATTTTGTCTAAGTGATAAAAAAAAAAAAAAAAAAAAGTAAGATCAATATGATAAAATAAATATATAATAAGATATATATATATATATATATATAAATATACTGTAATACTGTAATAAGGTAGACAATAAATCAGGTAAGAACAAGTTTATCGGAATTAAAAGCTACCTTTAAAGACAAAATCGCCAAGATGCCATTTATCAATAGGAATATTATAATCATTACAGATTATCACATTTACAGGAACTTTAGATC